CTAGAATATTGGCATCCTTCTCTAAGTTGTCTGGCAGAATCTGTGGCCGTTTGGGAGATCTTCTTCGATCAATGACCAAACCGATTCTTCACCAAGTGTTCTCTGGAGTTCTCTCTCTTTCTGGATGGCGAATTGCAAGCGTGGGATGGGCTGTTCCTGAGCCTAAACGATTCAGCCATTGAAGAGGAAGGGGTGCACACGGGCTCGACCAAAAGGAAGGGAAGCAGTACTGTTGATAGGGGAGTTTTCTGTCCCGTTTATTAAGCTTCATTTTTTTGTCCATTTCCTTTGTTCTGATTTTGGTCTCTGCTAGTTTCCATTTTTCAGTCTATATATGGATTCCATAGTCTGCATTCTCAGTTTCTATATATGCTTATGGTTTATGTATAACATGTAAATGCTAGGCTAAGGTTTGGAGACTGATGATTTATGTGAACTCTGAAATTATATTGATTCTGATTTTACTGGGATTGATTATTAGAACTGTCATTAATTATATGAGCTTTAGAACTCTGTTATGCTGTCTGCATTGTGCTGTCACTTTCCCAACAATTTCTCCACATATGCAACGAACTACAGAGGCTAGGATTCCTACTGGTACTGTTATTTCAAGCCATAGATTATACTACTAGTATTTTTAAGCAAGAGTATACTGCTTAAAAATAGCACTACAAAAAAAAAATTGGATAACGTGAGTNATACGATTCTTCTTCTTCCTCCTCTTTACTGATCTCGACTTTGGGCTCTCTGTCTTCTTCCTCTTTGGGGGTTCTGTGTGTGGGTGAAATCCAATGAGTTAGAGGGTGATACCGTGTGGTTTCTAGGCCTGAAATAGTGGCTAGAATATTAGCATCCTTCTCTAAGTTGTCTGGCAGAATCTGTGGTCGTTTGGGAGATCTTTTTCGATCAATGACCAAAATGATTCTTCACCAAGTGTTCTCTGGAGTTCTCTCTCTTTCTGGATGGCAGATTGCAAGCGTGGAATGGACTGTTCCTAAGCCTAAACGATTCAGCCATTGAAGAGGAAGGGGTGCACACAGGCTCAACCAAAAGGAAGGGAAGCAGTACTGATGATAGGGGAGTTTTCTGTCCCGTTTATTAAGCTTCATTTTTTTGTCCATTTCCTTTGTTCTGATTTTGGTCTCTGTTAGTTTCCATTTTTCGGTCTATATATGGATTCCATAATCTGCATTCTCAGTTTCTATATATGCTTATGGTTAATGTATAATATGTAAATGCTAGGCTGAGGTTTGGAGACTGACGATTTATGTAAACTCTGAAATTATATTGATTCTGATTTACTGGGATTGATTATTAGAACTGTCATTAATTATATGAGCTTTAGAACTCTGTTATGCTGTCTGCATTGTGCTGTAACTTTCCCAACAATTTCTCCACATATGCAATGAACTACAGAGGCTAGGATTCCTACTGGTACTGTTATTTCAAGCCATAGATTATACAACTGGTATTTTTAAGCAAGAGTATACTGCTTAAAAATAGCACTACAAAAAAAAAAAATTGGATAACGTGAGT